GTGAAAAATGTTTAGCCGTCTCTCACCCATTATGAAAATTATACATCAACTAGTGATTATGCTAATGAGCACCAAGCTGCACAATTATGCTATTAAAAACCAAGCTCCAATGCAGACAGTTACTCCATTTTCCAGTCTATTTAACAACGTAAAAACTGTCTATATAAACTTTCTCACAACCACATAACACCATACTGTTGACATATCTGCTTTTTCTGAAAAAAAAGAGAGTAAGAGTTTGCATAACTAAAATGCTTTATTAAACCTTCTGGGCAATAATGTTCCATTTCTAGCTTCTAGATTTTGATAAAAAAAGACTTTTTCCTAATCATTACATTTAATAGTAAAACCCCCCAAAGCTTAACCACTATGGTCACATCCATGCAGGTGATATATAATATGGTATATAATTTTACTGCACTTCATAGAATTACATTTTCAAACGTCTGATTGCCATACTGGATCAGCTGTAGCCTTGTGCAATTCTGTCCACTGTGTATAAGACGTTGCACAAATGGGAAGAGCCAGTGTGGTATAGTGATTTAGAACTAGGTCTGAGGAGACAGCAGTAAGAATAGGGTGCCCAAGGTAGTGGGAAGGAAGAGCATGTGTTACGAGCATGTATTACAAGATGTGTTACTCCATGGTCTAATAGATGCAAGGTTTTATTTTATTGTTTAACATGCACATTTAGGGCACGTATCTTCCTCCCATCTCCTACATATTCCTTCATGTCTGTTGCATTCTTTTATAATTTGGTCCAGCCTCCCACATCTGATTACCCACATAACTCTTCCCTTGACCTTCCCCATTCCTTGTGCAAGGTTTTATTTTATTGTTTAACATGCAAATTTAGGGCATGTATCTTCCCATCTCCTACGTATTCCTTCACGTCTGTTGCATTCTGTTATAATTTGGTCCAGTCTCACACATCTGATTACCCACCTAACTCTTCCCTTGACCTTTCCCCATTCCTTGCATGCTCGTCATGGCCTGCAAATTCAATGGAACTACTATAGCTTCTTGGGAATGGGACTTTTCCTTTGTAATAGCCTCAAGCAAGCCACTTCTAATAGTTCCAGCAAAGTGGGTTGGTCTCTCCACCTGTCTCTCACATACTTAAAGCTCTTCCTTGTTCTAATAGATTGGGAAAGGGAGAGAAAGAAGTGCTGTTTCCCAGCTGGGTGTCATGTATTAATTGGCTTTTGGAGCAATCTACATGCATTTCCTCAGATATACTTTTTGTTTACCCAGCCAGCATGTCCCTGATAGGGAGCACCTGAACCCTTTGTGCCAACAGGATGGGTAGGTAGGTGGGGCTCAAAGCATGGTGAAAGGAAGGGTGGGGACATGGCAAGGGAAGTTAATAGAAAGTGCCTTTCTGATACCACAGAACAGCCATAAGATTTGCCAGAGGGGGCTGTTAAAATTTGGGATTATTCATGGATGTAATCATCATAATCTATGGTCAGGCCTCACCTGGAGTACTGTGTCCAATTTTGGGCACCCCATTTTAGGAAGGATGTTGACAAGCTCGAGCGTGTCCAGAAGATGGCAACCAGGATGGTGAGAGGGTTGGAATCCAAGTCTTATGAGGAAAGGCTGAAAGGGTTGGGTATGTTTAGCCTGGGAAAGAGAAGGCTTAGAGGGGATATGATTGCAGTCTTCAAGTATTTGAAGGGCTGTCATGTCGAAGATGGACCAGATCTATTCTCTCTTGCTCCGCACTGCAAGACTAGATCTAATGGGTGGAAATTACAAGGGAGTCGTTACCGGCTAAATATCAGGAGAAACTTCCTAACTGTATGAGTGGTTGAGCAGTGGAACAGTCTGTCTCGGGAGGTAGTGGATGCACCTTCACTGGACGTTTTCAAGCGGAGGCTGGACGTCCATCTTTCGGGTATGTTGTAGGGCTATCTTTTGGCTATGCTCCTGCAGAGTTCAGGGGGTTGGACTAGATGACCTGCAACGTCCCTTCCAACTCTAACATTCTATGATTCTATGATCATCATCATCATCTATTATTTTATTATATTGTGATGATGATAATGTATTACCTATTTTAGTTTGAGACTTCAGATTGGTGTTTTTAAAGAAACATTTGCCTGATGCCCCATTCTCAGCTTTGGGTAAATTAACAATACATATATTGAACTCACGCCTTTATATATTAGGATTAATTTATCTCTTATAATTTTACTGTGAGTAGTTGCTGAAATAATTGTACTTACCTGGTTACTAAGTGCAGCCATTGCACAACATGCAAACTTCACAGCTGGTTATGATAGATAAAGTTATTTGATAAACTCTGATTTCTAGTAAACAAGCCCAAGACAGCTGTAATACCTGCATATACCTGTCTCAGAATGTGGCAGTCCCATATCTTGCTTATCTTCAAACAGCTACATTGGCTGCCAATTTGTTTTTGAGTCTTGCTCCAAAGTTCTGGTTATGACTGTTAGAAGTCCTTTATGACCTAGGACCCACATATCTACTGGACCTCCTCTTCCCATATATCCCTGTGTGCCACCTATGGTCTTCAGCAATGCTCCCTCTAAGCTGTGGAGTCTTGTGAGCAAAATTTCAACTTTGTGAGCTACTGGCATTAAAGTTGTGAGCGAGTGATTTGGCTACTGCATCAAATAGTTTGCTCTGGAGCCCTCCTTCCTGAGCTGAGACAGAAATGTGTGAGTTGGAGGCTAAAAAATGGTGAGCTAGCTCACACTAACT